TTGATGCATTATCCATTAGTTTAGTCAACTTGTTTATAATAACATCATCGAGGTATTGAATGGCCTTGTTAACAACAAATTTACTTACAAAAAGTCATACTATAGTGAATGATCTTCCATACATAGTATGGAAAAATTTGTCTCTGTACCCTACTGTTGACACGGATACAACGGAAAAAAAAAAAATATCTATCCACTTTATGTGTTCAACATAATGTAAGACAACCATTTCTATTGAAATGCAAGCAAAAATAACTATCAAAGTTGCGATAACCTTCCATCTTATTTGTATGATTCCAGTCCTTTTGACGATCATACATGTGATAAATTTTTTATCGCATTTTCTTGACACCGCTAGTGAATAAAGATAGGAAATCAAGCGATCAAGGAAAATACTCATAGACCCCACACTTGCCAAAATGTAAAAACTTGTTAGCACCTTAGCAATTTTGGTGTTGGGAACCAGATCTCCGTATCCTATTGAGGTGAGCATTACTATCTAAAGTATAGAGCATCTATAAACTTGTATATGTGAGTGCCCTTCAATTTTTCATTTGTAATCACTACAAGAAAAGTGGTTTTCAAAGGCTTATATTTGTATTTAGAGGCGGTTCAAACTTCCTCTAAATGCTTGGTTCGACGGTTCATAAACCGCCTTATTTACCATCGACGCGAGGCAAAATATGGCAGTTTTCACAAAAATAACCGCCTCTACATGAAATATGAGGCAGTGATTTTAACCGCCACCAAAACATATTCTAAGGCGATTATTTTAACCGCCTCCACTATTGTCTCCAAAAGATAATCTGAGGCGATTATTTTAACCGCCTCCAAAAGACAATCCGAGGCGGTTATATTAACTGCCTCCAAATAACGTGTAATCGCCTCCAAACAGTTAAAATTGTATGAATTTAAAATTTTAATATTAAAATTATTATTTTTAAAAGTTAATATAATTTTTATTTTTTAAATATAAATAACTTATTGAATTTTGTATATATGTGTTAGTGTGGGTTGTTATATTGAAGGGAATGGAGAAGGAGGAACAAGTGCCATCCAATGTCGGACTTCAAAGTGAAAATGAGATGGTTTTTTTCAATGTGCAACAGTCATCTTTGGAAATTTATATATAACACCAGATAATTCAACTTAAAAATCTGAACGGTCAGATTAAAGTATTACAAGAGAAGAACACACTAACCAAATTTAAGGACGATCCAACGGCTGAACAAAGACATTTTCCTCTTTGAAACTCACTATCCGATAGATCATGAACCGCCTCTAGATATGCTTTGGAGGCAGTTATTTTAACCATCTTTAATTTATATTTTGAGGCGGTTCACATGAAATTGCCTCTAAATGTCTATTAGAGGCGGTTAAAATAATTGTCCCTATTTTCATTCAGAGGCAGTTATATTAAAACCGCCTCTAATTGCTGCATTTAGAGGCCATTATATCTCAATCATCTCTAAATGGTCAATGGAGGCGGTTATTTTAACCTCGTCTAATATACATTTGGAGGTGGTTATGGTTTAACCGCCTCTAAAAGTAGCAATTAGAGGCTATTTTAATATAATCACCTCTGAATGGTAAATGGAGGCGGTTATTTTAACCGCCTTTAGTACACATTTGGAGGCGGTTTCACGTCAACCGCCTCGAATCAATTAAACCGTCGAAAATATCGCATCTATGTATCAATTGGAGGCAGTCCAGTTTTCTTGTAGTGAATGTATATTACAATATCAATTGCTACATATACTAAAAAAACAATATTAGGCACCCACAACATAAAAGTCGATGGCTTTTGAGTAGTTTCATTACTTCTTAAAATTCTCATACTTCTTTTAACCCCACTTTCACCAGCCCGATTTAGATTTTCTCCACTTTCAACATATTTTCCTAAAATTTATTATTTTTGTCACTGAACTACTTATAATTTGGTCAAAGATAAAAAAAGTTATCTTACATTTTTCTTCATCACTCACATTCATCATAGCTATTGTATGGTGTTGTGTGTCTATACTTTTACATTCACTACATTGCGTACTTTATCTGTGGGTCAGTAAAGTACAAGTCACTTGGCCACCAGTAGCATTTTATGTATCTTTGTCAATTATATGCATGAAAAATAAACTACAGAGTATGTTGAGAAAATGATAACTTACACGAGATTATATGAAAAATAAATAATAACTTTTTTTTTAAGTTATGTAGAAAGTTAACATTTTCAACTTAAACCGAGATTAGAGTTAAGTGATGAAAGAAATTCTTGAAGGGGGTGTTTGGTACGTAGAATGTGATAGAAATTTTGGGAAAGTGAGGTGTGCAATTTTTGTTTAATATGTTTGGTATGAAGAATGTAATAAAAATGCAAGTATAATTTTGTTCCCATGAATCTATTTTTCAACATGACATGGGGAAAAAAAATCTCATTTGAAATGTAGTATTATTTTTTACCCATACCCATGAAAAGCATTTTACCTTTTTTAGACAAAATTGCCCTCGAGATGTCTTCAAAATTTGTTGCAAGAAACACAAAATCGTCGTCAATATTTTACCACCAACCAAACACAACATCAGTAAAGTTAACTCAACTTTTCTGATATAATTTTGGCATACCAAACACTTTTTCATAATTTATTTGGACAAAAATATTTACCACCATATTCTTAGAAAAAAAAATTCTTAGTAAAAAAAATATCTCCTATACCAAACACCCCCTAAAGGTTTTAGTTGAGTCCAAGTAAAATTGGGGATTATCAATTATGTTTTAGAGTAAATATCATTTTCGGTCCTCAACAAATTTTACGATGCCCACTTTAATCCCTACCAAATAAAAAGACTATTCGTGGTCCCTAAGAAATCCAAAGTAGACCCATTTTAGTCCTTTTGTGGAACTAATGTAAGTCTTTTTTAAATTTATGAGGGACCACGATTTCAATTAAATGAGTTCATTTTGAATTTTTTATGGACTACGAATAGCATTTTTATTTGCTTGAGACTAAAGTGGGCATCAAAAAATTTGCTGAGGATCAAAAAAAGTATTTACTCTATTTTTTTTAATTTTCGTATAATTTTATAATTACTTTTTTCCTTTTAAAAAAACCTACCCACACAGACTCTAATTTAATCAAAACTTAAAAAAAATAAAAATACCATTCAAAATAAATTTATATCAGAAAAATTTTATTTAAAATTTATTCAAATGTATCCTTAATAAGATAAATCTTTAAACCCTAAGCCATTGGGTTAGGGTTTTGACACAAAAAAAAAAAAATTGTTCTAAATTTCTGGTCATTCAGTCACTGCTGTCTTCCTCGCAGCCGAAGAAGTAAAGCTCTCTGAAAATCGTCATTGAGCACTGTTAATGGTATCCTAACTTTCTTTCTTCATTTTTCTTCTTTATTTCGTTTTTTTTATAATTTTTTGTTGTTGTTCTTTTGTTGTATCTGTTATTTTTTCCTTAACTCCCTCAAAATTTTGTTCTTCTGATGAACTTGTCTCTCTGTGTGTGTGTGTGTTTTACTGTTTCCCCTTCTCTTTTAGTGCCTTAATACTAATTTGACTCAGTGATGGATGCATTTGGTGTATCCTATTGAGTAATCTCTCTGAACTTTTTGAAAAGATGTTAGTTCTCAGAATCCAGGTTAACACATAGGTCGAGCAGGAACCAGAGCACATGCTCAGAATTTATTAATGAAAGTAAATTTAGAATGCTGAAGAAATAATTTTACCATAAGCACATGAGAATTAGTTCTTGGATCATTGGCATGGATTACAGAGAGATAAAGTGATTATAATTATTAAGGTTGGCTGGACTGGAGATATACTTGGAATCATTCTGTCATACACACATCACATGCGCGCGCACATACTCATTATTGAATAATTTGCTTCACCTTAGATGCTTGATGTAGAAGGAGAAATGGCTGTTATTCTGGATGAGAGGTGACAAATGACAAATATAAAAAAGTTGTTCAGAAGTAATAATAACCTTTATTAAGAATGATTAATTGTTCAAACTAGCAGTGACGTAGCATAGATTTGTATGGATTAACAGATGATTAAATTTGAAATATGTCAAGATGGACTATATGGGCATGTTTTTTTTCTAATGATAACTAGTTTTGATCACCAACCAATGATACCGCGAATTTGTGAGAACCAACCCGCCAAAATCAAACCAAGTTGCCAGCTTAGCTTGCTTTCTTTCTCTTGATTTTATGTAAACTAGAAAAAAGAAGACAAAGTTCATGGGATTGAGACACATTTTTGGTAGATCATAAGAACACGAGGGATTTGAATAGACACTTAACTGTTACCAACTTTCTTCGCAATTTCTGCAACCATTAAGATTCACTGCCGCACACTCCCAAACACTCTTCTGCTGCCATATCATTGCAAATTGAATCTAGTACTGGTAAATGAGAAAGGAAGGAGTTCTTGTCTGGAATCTGGATTGTATATATGTATGTGTTGTCCCTTTTTAAGGTGCTATGCCAACTTTGTTGTACTGATTAGTTATGAAAGTATGAATTTATTTTATTTGATTGAGTTTAAACTAGATGCTCATAACACTGGCTTGGGTTGAAATGAGTTCGTGTTTTGTTTAATTATGGGTTAATGATCACTTCACTTGGCATGGCTGTTGCCTTAATTAGCTTGGGGACTTTATTTCTGCTAGATATTGAATTTTTTATGAATTTCTGGCGATTTAGGAAATTGACAGAATGCAGAAATCAAATCCTTTCTTTTGTAGATGAAGCCCGATTTCCTTTGTCATTATATGCTCCTAGTTTGTTTGGTAGTAAGTAACTGACCAAATGACATATTAGTTGTTTTACTTTATTATGACTAGTTTGTTGACGCATACTCATTACCTGTTAATTTACAGTTTTTAGTTTTTTAATACAGGAGGAAAAAATAATTTATGAAAAAGAAAGTTGCTCTTAATCTCCCATCTAATTCTACTGCTTTGTTCTTAAAGCTTGTGAAAGGGACACAAGGCAGGCCAGAGAAATTTAGAGTGAACTGCATTTGGTGAAGCGTCACTGGAGAAACTAGATTGTCTTGTCTTGTGTTATGAGCACATGTTGTATGCCTCAAGGTATGCAATCCCCAAACTTCCTCGCATTCTTATGCCATCATCTACCTTCCTTGTTTTTCTGCCATATGCTCAACAAACAAGGCTACATCTTCATTCGCAGCTGTTGCCACCACAACATGCCTACAAATTTGATAGTATGGATGATGCAGTAGCTTTGTTTCATCGCATGGTTGATATGCATCCCCGGCCATCGGTTGTGGGATTCACCAAAATCTTAGGAACAATTGTAAAGATGAAGTACTATGACACAGCTATTTATCTTTATACCCAAATGGAGTCTAAGGGTATTATGCCATTTACAGTTACTTTGAACATCATGATGAATTGTTACTGCCATGTGGGTCAGATGGGTTTTGCTTTCTCTGTAATGGGTAAGATTCTTAAGTTGGGTTATCGACCAAGTGTTGTAACTTTGACAACACTAATGAAGGGGTTGTGTGCTAATGGTAAGCTATTGGATGCACTATACATTCATGATGAAATACTTGCCAAAGGTTTTCGGTTTGACGAAGTTATGTATGGAACCTTGATCAATGGGCTGTGTAAGATTGGAGAAACAAGCTTTGCCATTCAAATGCTTCGAAAAATGGAGGGACAGTTGGTTAAGCCCAATCTTGTAATGTACAATATAGTCGTTTATGCTTTGTGCAAAGATGGACTTATAAATGAGGCACATGATTTGTGTTCTGAAATGATTGTTCGGAGAATTTCCCCTGACATTATCACTTATAGTTCATTAATTTATGGTTTCTGTCATGTGGGCCATTGGAATGAAGTTAGCTTATTGCTTAATGAGATTGCTGCTAAAGACATTGGCCTGGATGTCTGTACCTTTAACATAATAGTCAATGCATTGTGCAAAGAAGGGATGCTCTTACAAGCCCATGTTATGTGTGATATGATGATTGAAAGAGGTCAACTACCTGATCTTATTACTTACACTATTTTGATGAATGGATATTATTTAAAGAATAAAGTGGATGAAATTTAATTAACTTTTATGGTTGGAAAATGCTTGTTTCTTTTGGGCCACAGTTGTTGGACTGGATAATGGCTTCATTGTTGTTGAAAAAGTTTTGATCAATTCATATGTTTATTAATTTTTTTTCACTGTGTTGTAGCCCATTGTTAATTTTTTGAGTCATAATATTAATTAAGATTTTGATCCTTGTTAATGTAGTAGTAATATGTTTATAGATCTTATTTATTTCATCTGAATAAGTAATGATTAATATAAAGAGAAAAAGAAAAAAAATGAATCTTATTATGAAATTACCCTAGATGATTTTGACATATCAATATATATTATATGAAAATCTTATCGTTCAAATTCAAAAAAATTATTTAAACCCAAAACTGTAAAATGTTAGGTAATGATTTACCTTTGTTTATTTAATTCCATAAATGAGAGAGGGGAGTAATGATTGAACTCGTGACCTTGTAGTCACTGAAAACATCTATTTTAACTCAAAATCTTAAGGTGTTAAGTGATGGTTTTCTCAATGGTTTATATATATATTTTTGGTAAAAAATAATAATTAAATCATTAAAACAGCCATTCCCTAACACAGAAAATCCTTTATTATGAATTTATGACACATAATATGCAGTGTAAATCGAAAGAGGAAAGAAGAAGAAGGACAAGTAACAGATAAAAGAAGAAAGATGGAAAAGAGGTAAAAAAATAATAAGAAGAAAACGAAACAATGAAAATCCAAAACGAGGAAGAGAAAAAAAGAAGAAAGAAAGAATATATATTTTATTAAATGATTTTTTTTTAAATTGTAATTTTATTAATGCATTTTAATTAATGGGTTTGATGTTTGTCATTTTAAATGACATAAGTTATGTCATTTTAAATGACATAAGTTATGTTATTTTAGGAGAGAGATAGACACAAGTAATGAAAATCATGGAGGAGAAAGTAGGAGATTTTTTTAATTTAAATTTTAAATAAAAAATATTATTTTGTATCTATTTTTATCTTAAATAACATAAATTTATCTCATTGACAAATACTTTTTCCTTAATTTTATTATAAAAATTATTTAACCGTATCGAACGTTGTCAAATTTACGTATCGGATTATCATAAATGTTAACTAGGTGTCGACACCGACGCTTCAAATTTTTTGAAGTGTGCATGCTTAGTTTGGCGTTCTAAGTATTTCAATTTTCAACAGTTATTGGCATTCCTTTCCTTCGTTGCTAGTAGAGCTATAAACAGGTTAGGCTAGACTAAGTTTTGGCTTATATAGGTTAGGTCTGTCTAAAAATTATTGGGTATGACCTGACCTATTAGCCTGTGTAGGCTCCAAATACAAGTCTAATCTGACCTATATTTAAAAAATAAAAACTTTGGCCTAGACCTGTTAGCCTGTTTAAGCCTACTAAACATTCAATAATTAAAAGAACAACTAAAATAATATTATTTTATTATACAAAATTATTAAAATAATAATTTTATTCATTATAATTTAAATAAATAATATGATATAGACCGGCCTGGAAGGTTATAGGCTCGACATGTACAAAAAAACTTATGACCTGTTTCCTAAATAAGTCTTTTTAAAAACCTAGGCCTGTTCTATTTTACTATTTATAATAGGTCAAACGTAATCTAATATAAACTAGGCCATAAATTTGTATAAACCGGACTAACCCATTTTCAGTCGTAGTTGCTTCTCTGTTGTTATAGTTAACATTCTTCTCATCTTTTAAATTTCTACCTCTGCTTGCCATAAGGTACGAAAGTAGATGGGTGTAACGTGTTCAAGATGTGGCATGTTGAAAACATATTAATAAAATCGAAAATTATGTTTTGTATTTGGACACCTGTGATTTGGCCAAGTTTACTTTTACCCCTGAAATTTAAAAAGGACTATTTCAACAAAAATAGGAATGCGGTAAAATTAATCTAGAACCACTCTAGCTTTAGCTCTTTTCTTTGCTTATTATATATGTATATATACTTCAAAGAATGGAATTTTGGCTATGGTTGATTAATTATTATTATTTTGTATATTATGGTTGATTTTTTTTTTCTCAAGATATTCTCCGGCCGACAGTCGAAGACTAATTATTTTGAGACAAAAAATTACATTAAGTGGATAAACTTCTCCTAACAAAATCTTTTTATACACATAGTTAGAAATTAAATCGGTGTACCCAAGTGTGGTGGCTCAGTTGGTAGCATGGGGACTGAGTGGTGGGAGAGGACCTCGGTTCGAATCCCACCAACACCATCTGGGGAGGGGCATAAGTACCGTAATCTTTGGACTCGCACCTGAACTCTGGATTAGTCCCATAGGTGGCTCAAAGAGTCGAACCTGTGAGGATACCGGGAGGTTCTGATTCGCCTCAAAGAGGTAATTAGGATCAGTTTCCAAAAAAAAAAAGAAATTAAATCGGTGTCAACATACTTAAAAAAGTTCAGCTATTTATCAAATGCGGTGGTTTTGTTAGTTGTTGATTTTTTAAATAGTAGCTAGAGTTGCACGATTCATGTAACATCCCGTTGTACAACGGTATTGTTAACATTGATTATGATATTAAGCACAGTTACAATCACAGCAGTTCATTTAAAAATACAAGTAAATTTTTTTCTTTTCATTACGTAAACATTTTAAAACAATAAATAAACGTAATGATGTGAGCTGCGATCATAACTGAAATCTAACGCGGAATAAATAAAATATGGGGAATGTTATATTTACAACCTATTTTCGTTTACAATTTCTTACAACCATACCTTAACCTTTGATTTCCGTCAATCAACGGTTAAGTTTTTCGCAAATCAAATTTATTAATTAATTATTAATTCACAATAAATGACAACCATTGATTAGCGAAAATCAACGATTAAAATATAGTTGTAAGAGTTTGTAAACTATTTGGGTTGTAAATATAACCCCTCCCATAAAATAAAAGCTTAACTATCATACATTACTTATTTTAAGTCACTAAGTGGTTCCCATAAACCCACTTAGCATAATTCTCACTTTTACGATTTTTCTACAACCGAACATGGTTCAGTCTTTTGGACACTGTCCAAAATTTGCATGCTACGAACCTATCATCTTTTAGTATATTATTCTCTCAATTACCTTTCCAACAAGGTATCACAAAGTTTTCATTTGCTCCAGTTATCATCATTTGAAGTTGGACAAGCAAAGCTGCCAGCCAACCCCAAACAGGGCACTAAATATACCTTACTATTTCTGCGATTCTGAACAAATCACTCAACCAATTACTCTCAAATTTTTATACACTATACTACACACCTTAAGATTTAATTTGACATATCATGAGACTAATTTGAGTAAGAATTGAGGGAAAAACCATTTTTGCAAAACTGGAACCCGACAGCCCCCATGTGCAGAGCCATTTGGGCAGTCTCCACTCAAACGCGTCTACATGTCGCTACAGAGCTTCAATTGCTACCAAATTTTGCAAAAACATAGCTTACATTTCAAGCTTCAAAATGATGTATGCCACGTCTCTATTGGACCCTTGTGGAGGGAGATATGCTCTCCCAAAGTCAGCCTAAAAACTGCCATTTTAATATAAATTTTGACGGCACCTCCTTTGTTTATTCAACCTATCCTACTTTATCAAAAGTGTGTTTTTATGCCTCAAGGGTACCTAATAGACAAAGGTGGCACTCAAGGACCAACAATGTCTTGGTGTTCTTACAACCCATAACAATTTGCATTATTTTCATCCATTTACAATCCATTCCTTACTTTGTCAAAACTTAAAATCATTTCCATCACATTATCCAATTGCATGCATTCTTAACAATTTGCATATAATTGCCCTTTCATCACATACATGCTTTAAAATATTACACAAGGTCCATAATTATCAAATTACAATTCTCCAAATGGTAAGCATAAATACAAAGAAATCCTCAAAATACAACAAGACATATAATCAACTAAACTTAGCCAAAATGTAGAATGAACAAATATGACAAGATGTATATCCCTAATACAGTATACAATGTTCATGCTTTAAGTCTAGCCTATGCCAAAAGTGGCCTCAAAATACAAAAGCTCTCCAACTCCAAAGCTCATCATGTGGGCCTCTTGCCCATGGCTCCTGCCTCGCTACAACCACCTGAAATAATACCCAAACGCGAGGTGAGATATACGAATATATCTCAGTAACCCAGAGGTTCTTGAGATCACTCTGCCCAATGGCTCACTCAGATGTAAATATACAATAATGAATCATAACAACCAAAAAGGGATATAGCAAAGGATTTAGATAAGTAGGGGTGCATAAGGAGAAAACATGCGATGAAGCTCGAATGGTCATAGCTAAAATCACGCAACATCTGGCTTATTGGTCTCGGCATATAGCCTACGGGCTCTCATCCAAGAATGTGTTCCCAGAACATAATCCAAGGCACCCTCCATCTAAATACACCCGAGACATTCTTTGAGTGCTCCTCAACGGATAACATCTCTATGGCCCCAGGCCAACTGGAACTCCCTCACGGAGACCATCCAGCAGAAGTCCGTAACGCCTAAGACAATCTATCTACTGGTCAGATATATGGTACATCCTATGTACCCATATATATACATATGCATGAGCATATTATAACGACATCATTGACATACAACCTTCAACCACTACCCCAATGGGCATGGTGGAGCACACACAGGAATTAACCCCAGTACCAAGGGATTACCTTCTTGAAGCTCCCAAGCTAGGTAGCTCCAAAGCAAGTTACACAATAACTCAATCCACCCAGAAATGCCTACACAAGGTCATTCTCACGTTCATTAGAACCACATAAAGACCACTCACTTGGTCATTCAAGCATTCATGCAATTTGACATAAATACTTACCACAATCCTTTTAGTCAAGGACCAAAGGCAATCCACTAAGCTCAATCCTCAAGGATCACGTCCGTGGGAGGCAACCTACAATGATCACATATAGGATCATCAATTCAATTGTAAATCAAGTTGAAATATA